GAATCTACTTTCTCAGAGTCGAAAAGGACTGAGGGGGGAAAGAGAATGCAGGAAAGAGTTGTGATCCTTGTGCCCTTGATCACTGGAGCCATCTCACGGGTGAATGTTCTTTAGTGTCGTTTCAGTGTGTTCACGGAAACATAGTACCTCAATTTTGTTACTTCTTGGAAGAAATACTGATATTTTACCATTTTTAAACATATTGTTTAGATCAAAAATTAAGCCATTCCAGGATTTTTTAAAAAGATCTGGTGTAAAACTTTCAAATTAGTATCACTCAGCACAGCATATGTGATTTAATAGTTATGAAAAACTGTGTGTTTAAATTGGGGAGGGAGGTTTTCTTCTAGTAAGTTCAATCGTCCAAGAGCATTCTGCAATAAGTGGTTATACAGGTTAAGTAATATTAATATGTTATGGTTAGGGTTCCACTTTTAAGTAGAAACGAATGTTAAAATATGCCACATTATTATGCAGAAAGTTTAGAATCTTTACTAATGAAAGCATAGTGCAGGGAATAGCTGTGCCTATTATGAAATGTAACTGTTGACCTGAAAGCCTAGAATGTTCCTTTTCTTTTCTTTACATTTTGAAGAGTTTTAAACAATGTGACACAAGGATATGATTGTTTGTTTTATTAACTTTTGTGCTAGGAAGGTTTAAAATTAAAAAACGGGTTAGTTGCAAGTTGCTGAGAAGCTTGTGTGTTTATAATGGTAGGTAATGGGAAAGGACGTTTCTTGGTGGCAGTAGTATTGGAACAGACTCAGTCACTCTTACATTGACTTAGGTAATCTCATCTATAGAATTCTGCTACAAGTGGCTGTCTCACTTTGTCTTCTTTCTCCCCTTTTTTTGTTTGTCCATGCATACACAAACTCTTAATGATGTTAGCTGTGTCAACATATGAGTAGCCTTAAACACTTCATGCTCTTCATCATTGTGTGGCAGACTATAAAAATACATAGAATACTCTTAAAGTAACTCAAAACTATTGCTAGCGTGTATGTTCTGCTTAGGGATGTGCATTCGGTTTGTATGAAGCAAATGCACCCTTGAAAATGGCCCATTTGGGCTAATTCAGATTCTCTGATCTGAATCGGCTAGTCGTCGAATTGCTGCCGAATTTCGGCTGTGATTCGGCCCCATATATCCCATGGGCCATTGAAGTCAATGGCGAAAACGTAGGGTATATTCTGGGGGCTGGAGGGGAGTGGGTTCGCGGGAGAGGCTCCAAACTTGCAGAATAGCTGCTGGAGCCTCTCCCCAAGATACCCACCAAGTTTCAAGAACATTGGACTAGGGGGTCCAATTCTACGGGCCCCCAAACAGGTTGCCTCCATCCCCTCCATTGTTGTCTATGGTGGGAAAAAGTTAAAATGTTTAACCTCTACAATCTGAATTTTGTACCACGTTAGTTAAAAGCCATGGAGGAAGAGATGGTAGACCAGTGTACACATTGACATGTAATGCATAATTATCCTGAACTAAACCCATGATATTAAGTAGAATTAAGCTTAAATATGCTGTTTAGGTGCCCCTTCTTTTTCAGAATGTAATTATGCATGTGGAATATCACTAAATTTGGTGTAGTGGTTAAGTGCGCGGACTCTAATCTGGGAAAACTGGGTTTGATTCCCCTCTCCTCCACTTGCACCTGGCTGGATGACCTTAGGCAAGCCATAACTCTGGCACAGCTGTTCTTGAAAAAGAGCAGTTTTTGTCAAGAGTTCTCTCAGCCCCACCTACCTCAAAGGGTGTCTGTTGTGGGGAGGGGAAGGGAAAGGAGTTTGTAAGCCGCTCTGAGACACCTTTGGGTAGTGAAGGGCAGGGTATAAATCCAATCTCCTCCTCTTCTTCTTCTTCCTCTTCCTCTTCCTCTTCTTCTTCTTCTAAGCAATAGTGACCTAGTTCTAATAGCAGTGTATGGAATACATTTTGAGTTTTAGTGTAGTTTTAATTTAAAACCTGTCATAAAAGCAGTAAAATGACCAAGGGTTGTAATCTCAAATATTTGTGAGTTGTTAAATCCTTCTGACATGAGTAGAATGTATGTATGTAGTCTTTTATGTTTTTCCTCACCTTCATGTCCGTTGTTTCCTTTCTTGCCTGATATTTCCTTTCTTTTGTAGGTCACTGCTGTTTTGTCTTCTGCTGTTAATTTGTTGCTTCCATTTTCTAACTTGTCTAGAGCCTAGAAGAGGAGATAGCATCAATTTTATTTAGTAAAGAAAGTTTTTCCGCTAGCATGAAAGCTGCCTTCACTTCAGCTACCTCGTGGACAGCAGAGGGCACTGTTGTGAAAGATAATGTACCTACTGAAAAGCTTTCTGCCTCACCCTTCTCTCAGCTGCCTGAGGTGCTTTTCCACATTTACTTTTTTTTAGCATAAAGCTGTGGAGAGAGGGGCGTTCATAACCATGTCAGATAATATGTATATTGTATCTGTTAAAGCATGTAGTCTGAAATTAGGACAAAGGAAAACTAAGAAAATAAATGTGGGCCTGATTTAGTTTCAGGATAACGCTGATGCTCATAAAAAGCTCCTGACAGAGTTTTCTGTTTTCATCTCTTCAGTGTTGGAAGCAATGCTACACATGCAATGGGGATGGATAGGTAGACTTTAAACACTGGTGGTATTAATTGTACTGTTCAGTGTTCTCAATAGAAAGTGCATAAGTTAGATATAAAACAAAGGTAGGTATTTAAAAACTGAAAAGCAAAATAAAACCCATCTCTCCATACGCTTATATGCCTTTCAGAGGCACACTTTTGAAAATAATGCAGTTGTGAACTTACTTTCAAACATCTGTCAGCCAACGCCGAACTGAAACTTACACTTCAGTCGGTGAAACCAAAATTAAGTCACAGATGCTGTGCTGGGTTTAATTAAAGATGCTATAGGTTTTTTTCATAGTGTCACTTTTGCATGAGTGTGTTTTTGTATTTGTTTTTGTTTTTTTGCTTTTGAAATCCACATAAAAATATAGGCTGTAACAGTCTTTAAAATGTAGTGTCATTTTTGATGTTCTGGCAACACATTAAATCTTCACAGGGGTTCTGTATGTCAACAGTATATATAGAACAAAGTGTGAGTCCTGTGGCACCTTTAAGACTAACAAAGTTTAATTCTGGGTATAAGCTTTTGTGTGCACACACACTTCTTCAGATACATTGAAACAAGACTTCCTCAACCATTACATAAAGGTGTAGGGAGGGTTAGTTGCCAGGAAGGTTTAATTCGAGTGAGGATGCAGAAGTAACTGAGCGAGAAGTATAGCTAAGATTGGATTAAAGCAGTTGATATGATTTGTGAATAGCAGCAAATTAGCATAATAAAGAAGTTAACAAACAGATGTGAGAACTAAGTTTAAGTTCCGTGGCAACTTTTAAGACCAACAAAGTTTAATTCTGGGTATAAGCAAGAACCGAGTGACTTAGTATGTGTAATGAGAGAAGAACCCAATATCTCTGTTAAGCCCTGGTGGTTCTACCTATATATAATGGTTGAGGAAGTCTTGTTTCATTGTATCTGAAGAAGTGTGTATACGCATGAAAGCTTATACGCAGAATTAAACTTTGTTAGTCTTAAAGGTGCCACAGGACTCATACTTTGTTCTGTTGCTTCAGACCAACACGGCTACTCACCTGATATATTTATGTGCCAGTTCTGTGCCTCTTTTTGAGACTTATCACACTCATATAGGCATGTTTCACAGTTCATCACAGGAGCAATAGCTAACAATGTGAGCTACAGATATGAGGGAAAAGAGTGCAGAAGAAGCTCATGGGGGCAGATCTTTGCTGACTTCCCCACCTAGTAGAAGGGGACAATTTTGCCTAATTCAGCTTCTCCCTGCCCACCCCCCATGCTGCAGTGTGTTTTGTTGGACACATTGCAAACAGTTTTCAGAGGGCTGATGTGGGAGAAGGAAAAGTAAATACATGCTTCCACTTTTTCTTCTGTAGGATTCAAACCCAAGTATTTTATTAGAATGAAACCTTACAATCACCTAAAGGGCAAGTGTAAATAATGACATTTTTGCTTATATAGGAGTTCATTCCAATGAACTGTAAGCAAAGCTCGGCCTGCGGTGTGTTTCTTTCTTGCATCCCTGCTGCAGTGCCCTGAAAAGCTGCTCCTAGGGAATCTCGTGAAAACATGCATGGAGCCACCTTATTTTGTCTGACTGTTGGTCTGTCAACGCCAGCATTTTCTACTGTAACTGGCAGTGGCTTTCCAGGATCTCATGTAGAGATCTTCTGTATCAGCTGTTACCTAATCATTAAAGTGGAGACAGGAGACATTGAATCTGGGCTGTCTGCATGCAAAGTATATGCTCTGCCACGGAGCCATAGCCTCTTCCTGGTCCTTGCGAACCACATGGAGTACAGCATAAGAGGATGCAGTTCGAGGGGGGAGTAAGCAAAAATAACTCCGCTTGCATGAGCAAATGTGTCTTCTTTTAGTGCAAAGGTCAGTAAATTTGATTGACTTCACTCTTTGGATTTATTGTCCCATGATACTAGTCTTGAGTAGTCTTTTTCAATATTTTATTCCAAATACTGCTAAAACAAATAGCAGCTTGCTTTTAAGGAAAATAGAATATTTGTTTTGATGTCCAGTCTGCACTGTACCAAAAACTGAAGGAGAGTGGAGACAGGTGCAGATAAAATTAAAACAAGAGAATACATATTAAAATTTTATAACTTAACATGGCCACAGAATGCCAACCTAAATAAAAAGCTTGTGGAAATTAATGCGTTTTGGTGAGCCCTGAGAAGTAGTGAGCCTGCAGATCTCTGGCTCCAAAAATCTTGTCTATTTTCAGTGTGCTTTTCTGTGCACTTTACTTGTGCTGCTTTAACATATTGTTTGATAAATTTGTGAGTGTGCAGTCCATCCCACTGTGCCGTTTGTGAAATGATAAATTCAAATGTCTCAACAAGTATAGACTCTGTTATTCATATATGTCTTCTGGTTGCTTTTCATTTCACAGAAATTTGCTCCCAAAACAGAAGGGCCTCTCACTGGAACCGGCAGGACTATTAAGGTTCTACTATTTTGCCATAGCCCATGAGCTTTCACATTTTAGAATTTTCATTCTTCTTTCTTTTTGCATTTAACCATTCCAGTCATCTTTGTTCTTCATGTGACTTGAGCCATCCATTACATAATTTTATGTTCATAATTTTATTTATTCATATGTTCTACTTCTTGTGTTTCCTCATCCATTTGTTTTGTGCAGAGTTCACATGAGACTCTGAATGTAGTGGAGAAGAAGCAGGCAGAGGTTGGGATAGAAGAGACAGTAGTCACAGATGATACCCAAAGGGGCAAAATACAAGTTATCTTTGATGGTGTCGAGTCTCAGAAGATGGAGCATCTCTCCAAAAAGGATTCTTCATCCTTCTCGTCAGACAGCAGCAGTAATGAAAGTGAAGATGAAGTAGAATATCAGCCACATCATCGAATGATCCAGGAAGTCATAAAAGAAGAGCTAGAAGAGAATGAAGATATCAAAGAGGAAGAACAGAAGACGCAAGCAGTAGAGTATCCAGACATTTCACAAGAAGTCAGCCAGGTTAAAGCAAAAATTGAGCACCCACAAGCAACAGAAGCTTTGGTCCAAATAAATGATGTACCCACAAAGACATCTGGGGAGAGAAACGCAATAAAATTGAATGAGCAAGGCCCAGAAGAGGAGAGGGAGGAAGAACAGCTCAAACTAAATGGAGAGGCATCACATATTGACATTGATGTGTCACCACAAATAATTTGTTGCTCTGAGGTAAATGGTAGAAGAGGAGGGAACGCTAGAGAAGACATTTTGTCCTAGGGTTGGATATCTCTGCCTTTCTTCTTCTCTGTCCAGGTTTCAACAAAAATTCAGAACTGAAGGTGGGGAGAATTGAAGTACAGTAAAATTCTGCTTTCCATCTTGTCTTCTGAATTTTTTGGTAAATCTAATGAACTCAACTCCTGGGGTTATATCACCATCTTATTTACTATTTTATGTTTTGCTTTTGTTTGCGTGTGTTAATGTGTTTGTCTTGTCTTGTCTAGTATTTATTCAAAGGTGTAACTTGCAGTTGCAGTTATGAAGTAATATATATTGTACATGAGGTGATAAGTAGTCAAGATGCATCAGTTTAAGTCCTTTATTCTTAAGAATCCTGCTGCCAGTGAGGCTTTTAGTCCATTCAGGTTCCCCCAGCCCCCCAGTCTTGCCTTTTCAGTGCTCACTAGTGGCTACTGGAGGGAGGGGATTTGTCATCAAAGATCCACCTCCAGTAGCACCTTCCACCTGTGGTGCATAAGATCCCTGTCATCTTCATTATGTTTTTTTTAAAACACACTGATTTCTTTTTAACTTTTCCCTAGGCACTTTATTAAATTGCTACCTAGATCCTGATACAGGTTTCTCATCATGATGTATATAGAAGCTTCTAGCTAGATTGAGGCAGAAGGGTATAGTTCCACTCATAGATTTGTAAGCTTTGAACCTAGAAGAATTTTAGCATCATCCAAGTTCTTCTACCTTAATCTTCGGCATTCAGAATGCGTTAGTTTTGTTTTACTTTTTCAAGAAAATGCTCATTCTTTTAAAGATCACCATTTCAAGTATATGATATTTTGGGTTCTTCTTATCCAAGTTCTTCTACCTTAATCTTCAGCATTCAGGATGCGTTAGTTTTGTTTTACTTTTTCAAGCAAATGCTCATTCTTTTCAAGTATATGATATTTTGGGTTCTTCAGAACATTGCTTTCGTTGGCCTCTTTCAGATATGTAGGAAGAAGTTTTTCTTCACTGATCTAATTTTAGAAATGTCAAATGATATTGATGAACCTATAATATTGATTTCCGTAAGAACTGTTTTTGCATGTGACATTTCTAGTGGTTATTAAAGTTCTACTGGCTGTTAAGGTATTATATAGCTACTCAAACCATAAAAGTTTGAGCGGTTTTAATTTATTTAATAGTACAGATAGCATGTGATAGTGAGTTGTGGCTCCCCACTGTAGGTATATCTCATTACAAACAGGCACAACATTGAATGGCTTTTTAAAAAAAATATTAAACCTCGGATTCAGATAACAAGGAGCTGTGATTGGCTGTTACTATTGCCCACATTGATGTGAGTGTATACATACTTTAAGAAGCATATGGCTCCCTGCCACATCTTTATGTAGTGGTTTAAAAAGAAGCAGATGAATGCTTCAGATGCTACAGAGCTAGTTTCATGTTGAGATTTGTTAGCCATTCTTATATTCTACTGATGGAACTAAAATTCATAGGCAGCTTGAAAAATCTAATAGGGTGATTTAATGTTTTATAGTCAGAATGTTGAAAGGCTTGTGTGTTTGATAGCCTGCTAGATGCCATATGTTTTACCTTTATGACCTTAAATTCATAGCCTTCTGTCTTTCTGAACACTAGCCTCCAGTGGTTAAAACTGAGATGGTGACCATTTCAGATGCTTCACAAAGAACTGAAATCTCCACTAAGGAAGTACCAATTGTTCAGACAGAAACTAAAACGATCACGTATGAATCTCCCCAGGTACAGATGTTGTACAATTTAGAATACCATTTTTAGTTGTGTCTTCAGCTAGGCTTAGTTCAAGAGGCCAGGTTGTCATGTGGCTTTGAAAACAATATTTTCTACGGTCACAGTACTTGGACTACAATATTACAGACTTACCTTTACTTTTGTGAATCTTACTGAAATGCCATATTAATCTCAGCTATCTCAAATAAGTACTTTAGATCACATTGAATCTATTGTGAATTGGCAAGTTGCACTTAAAAAGAACTTCAGGATTGTTGCCTTGGTTTATACTTTTAGTCAACATTGAGTGTTGTCGTTTTCAATTATCCAGTTTGATGGTGGTAGTGATGCTGGTGTGCTGCTGAGTGCACAGACGATCACAGCGGAATCTGTTTCTACAACCACAACCACACACATCACTAAGGTAAATGAACCAAAATAACATTTGCAGTTTTCCTCCCTTACCTCATATATTGATTAGAAAGTGTGCATTTTATTACATATTGCTTCATTTTTTTGAAGCTACTTTTCCAGTTCCTTAATCTTCGATTATGTTTTACCAGGGAGATTTGCAGTTAATACTGTATGTTGCCTTTTTGCTCCCACATAATGCTGTTTATACCTTTGTGTGGTACTCTCAGTCCCAGTGTATGATTGAAAGGAATTCAGAGCTGGTGCCCACCAAATGTTTTTAGAAAGTGGTGGGGATATTGCCCAGCAGGGATTCTGATTGACCATTGGAAATATTTTTGGCTATGCAGATTAAAAATACAAAACAAAACACCATTGTTTTGGCAGCAACTGCCACTACAGCTCAGGGATCTTCACTGCATGACTGAAGTTAATGCAAGAAAATATATCAAAACAATATATATTTTTAAAAGGGCATCCTGTTAAGAGCTTTTGCCTGAAATGTTGAAGAATTACTATTAAAATTATGCATAACCTCACTCCTTGACATCTAGTGGTCCTCGCCATCTCCTGTGGGAGCCATTTTGTGGTTGCACTGACCCCCCATGTCAGAATTCCCGCAGAGCCTCAAAAAGGTTGGGGACCCCTGTTGTAGATGATATACTGCAGATGGTGTTTCTCTGTCACCTCAGTGTTTGAATTATCTACTTTCAGCATGCAGTCTTAATGTCTCAGTTGCTGGTATCCTTTCCCCCCCTGTAGAAGATGATTTAATTGTTAGTCTTTCTGAACTATAAGCACTAGGAACTGTGAAGGTAGAGGGAGAGTTTTGTACTTTTCCCTGTGTTATAGGCATATCACTTCATCAACACTTAATAACTTTTGTTGGCACTGGTTGCATATATTTGGTAGTGAAATACATTGTTGGAATTTTTTTCTATCCGATTCTCTTAGTTTGAGGGCTTATTGGAATGGTTAACCCCACAGAATATTATAATAATTTGAGCATATTTTATAACAAAACCCTACAGCCTGTTTGAAATGCTTTTTTGATGTACTGTCTTCCTACTACCAACTGTAAAAAAAAACATGCAGAAGAGAAGAAATACCTTCCTGCTGCAGCACTGCTAAAGATCTAGGCTGGGAAGCCAGAGCCAGACTTTAGCAGCTCCCATTTCCTGGTTGAGAAGGTAGACCAGAAGATTAAGGCCACTCTGCTTCTTCACCTTTTCATTTAACACTATTTTACACTTCACCTTAGAGTGCTCAGTTGAACATGCTGACTTGAGCTCACCCACTACAAGCAAGCCATTCATGGACTGCCAATCTGCATGCTGATCCCCACTATTTCAAGTGATAGACTGGGGAAATAGCAAAACTGTTCATCTGTGTGTGTGTGTGTGTGTGTTTATGGTTGGGGGAGTTGCTTCAATAGTGTTGAAGCAGCACTGCAAGAAACTGCCATCTGAACCAAGACCTGCACTGAGCCCCTGATCATCTTTTATCCTGACGAGCAGCTTCAGAGGAAGTGGAGCCTTGCTGAGGAGCAGTTGTAGATGAACGGCGTGAGTGATGGGCCTGTTGTTGTTGTTCAGTCGCACAGTCGAGTCCGACTCTTTGCGACCCCATGGACCAGCTCCCGCCAGGCCCTCCTGTCTTCCGCTGTCCTCTGAAGTTGGCTCAATTTCATGTTCGTTGCGTCGATGACACTGTCCAACCATCTCATCCTTTGCCGTCCCCGTCTTCTTTGACCTTCAATCTTTCCCAGCATCATTTGGTGGCCAAAGTATTTGAGCTTCAGTTTCATTATCTGGCCTTCCAGGGAACAGTCAGGGTTGATTTCTTTTAGGATTGACTGATTTGATCTTCTTGCAGTCCAAGGGACTCTCAAGAGTCTTCTCCAGCACCATAGTTCAAAAGAATCTATTCTTCGGCGCTCAGCCTTCCTTATAGTCCAACTCTCGCAGCCATACATGACTACTGGGAATACCATTGCTTTGACCATGCGGACTTTTGTTGGCAGGGAGATGTCTCTACTTTTTATCATGCTGTTTAGGTTCGCCATCGCTTTCCTCCCAAGGAGCAGGCGTCTTTTAATTTCATGGCTGCTGTCACAGTCTGCGGTGATCTGGGATCCCAGGAACGTGAAGTCTGTCACCACTTCCACGACTTCCCCTTCTATTTGCCAAGGAGTGATGGGGCCGGATGCCATGATCTTAGTTTTTTTGATGTTGAGCTTCAAGCCCAGTTTTGCGCTCTCCTCTTTTACTCTGAGCAGGAGGCTCTTTAGGTCCTCTTCACTTCTGCCATTCATCGGTCGTACTCTAAGTATATCAAGCAAAACAACTTGCCGGGTGAGATTGTGATCAAATTTCTCCGACGACAGACAAGAGATGATATTCTCAGAGCTTCTTGGCCCTTATACAGGTTTCTCAAGAGACATGTGAGGTGGTCTGGTACTCCCATCTCTTTAAGGACCTGCCATAGTTTGTTGTGATCCACACAGTCAAAAGCTTTAGCATAGTCAATGAAACAGAAGTAGATGGGTCTGTAGCAGATGCAAAATTCAAAGAGTATCAGGAAAATTGGGGTGTTGGATACACTAAACCTGGGATATGAAACAGTATGTGACTTGTATTTATTTTAGAACATTTCTATGCCACCTTTGAACATGAAATTGAGCCAACTTCAGAGGACGGCGGAAGACAGGAAGGCCTGGCGTGATCTGGTCCATAGGGTCGCAAAGAGTCGGACTCGACTGTGCGACTGAACAACAAAAATGCCACCTTTCCAGAGACCATTAGCTTTTGCTGATCAGGTGCCTTCTTGCTTATCTAATGGGATGCTGATAGGTTGAACAGTCTTTATTGATTACTGTTATTATCAAAGTAGAGTTTGGACATGACACTTCTGTACCACTGCAGTCTTTCCACAGCAAAATTTAATGCAATGGAAGCACTATTAAAACATACCTTTTTTCTTGTGAAAACTCTAGACAGTGAAAGGTGGTGTGTCAGAAACCAGAATCGAAAAACGGATTGTTATCACTGGAGATTCAGACCTTGATCATGATCAGGTGAGAGAATTAATGTTAGCTCTTTTCAAGCTGTAAAAATCTAAGAAAATGAGCAATGCTAGAAAAGAAGCCTCATGATGTCTTTGGTTAATTTGCATAATGTTTCATTTATAAATAGATTGCCTCAGAGTAGGAAAAAACCCTACAAAATAATTAACAATCACTAAATTATTTTAATTATTGCCTGCCCTTTTATTTTGTAGCACCATTCTGATTCTGAATTAATGGTAGATACACAAATCAACAGAATGGGGATTAAAATTTTGCGTCTTAATTCTAATGTACCAAGGGCTACAAATAAATTTAATTTCATATTTTGGTGTGCCTGTAGCATGTGGCTCATGACAAGTTCAGTCTCTCCTAGAAGCCTGAAATTGAATGGCAGAGCTGCTTGAGCATTAGGTTTAAGAGCAGTTTGTCCTGGCCCATCGTCAGTGCATCTGGGGGATCTGGAAAGGTCAAACAGCAGCTTTGATTTGATAAAACTCAAAAGTTCTCTATAATGGTAGGCTAGGGTCGTATGAACATTTTGAAGCCCTGAAATAAACGTTTTAGGAATGCATCATTTCAGTGCAAGTCCCTTGCTCTATTTAATGAAAGTCTGATATTTTATGTATGTAAAATGTGCTCGTATTTAATCATGTCCAGCATTATTTGAATAAATTCAGGATCTCTGATGACGTCACTGGAATAAAATGCTTTTATTTGCCTTTAAAAGTTAAGCATCTGTTAAATGTTGGGATCATTTTATCATGGATCGTATTGCGCACACTTTTGATGACAAACAACTTAGACCCAACAACACACATTCCAAGTTTGTCAGAACTTGGTTCACATACTTACAGTACATGACAGAAAACGATTTCCTTCCATCTAACCCAGCATACATTGAATGGCTTAACTTTTAACACTTCTACGGACACAATGTAGAGTTCTCTATTATATCATCCACACACGGTACATACATTTTAGGAGTATACGTTACCATAGCTTATTCTGGGAAATTGTGCATACAGTTTTAACTAATACTTTGGTGCTGGTAGATGTAGATTTTTGCCACATCTCCCCGGCAGCTCCTTCCAGCCTTGATTCCCAAGGCTGTGTACATTCCACATGGACAAACAGCTACAACAGCAAAGCGCTGCAGCGACAGGAGGGAAGGGGGTGAAGTCACAGGTCCCGCAACTCAGAGGTCTGAAGGGACTGCAGGAGGGGAGGGGAGTGTGACAACAGTCCTCATTTGTCAGTGCCTTCTGTTGAATCCAACCTACCACTCCGTCAGTCCATAAGTTTTCTTGCCTTTCCCGCATCCTTCCCTGTTCTCTTTAATTCGTCAAGATATTGGCCAATAATCTGTACTTGTCCTCTGATTGACTATTAAAGTTTAGGCAAACAAAAATAATTGGTGCATGTACTCTGCCATACATCAACAAGTGCATGTATGAAATATAACAATTCACCTGGGGCTTTAGGTCAGAATTATGCAAACCTGTTATTTCTATGGCAGCACAGGTGGCAGGGATGGAGTCATTTGTAAGGGAGGAATGGGTAATGGGAGGTAGAAGTGCTAAACTGTTCTCACGTGCATCAATTCTCCCATTTATATGCATCCAAATCCCTGTCCTCCAGTGAAGGATACCACTGCTTTGTGCCTGCTGTGCGTGGAGGAGTGAGTGCCTTCTCACTTGGTTCTCTTTTGACCACTCCACTGTCAGTCCTTAACATTAATTCTTGAAGAGAATTGCCTTAGCTACTTTGTGTCTTCATCTTCTTTCCTCCCTTCCTCTTTTAGCTTTAGGAGAAAATAAACCCAGACTAGTCTCTTCATTTTGGGACATTGTCTTCATTCAAATTATCCACATTTCCCTTTTCAATAATGGCCGGTAGGCTTTGCTGAGTTTGCAAAGCCAGACTCCCACGGAACAGATACGGTTGACTTCTCTCCTGGGCTAGCCCACGTTGATCCTCCGCCTACTGTTTCATTCAGACCCCTTGCAGTAGAATCCACGCTGCACACTGCATCACAGCCTCAAAGGATTTGACCCTCCCTTTGTTCACCCTTACTGTTCAAAAGGTCATTCTCAACTTCCTAAAACTTATGAGGAAATTTTGTAAAGCTGGATTGAAGAAGTTACCTATTTACACTCCCACCCAATGTCTCAATCCTTCCTCAGTACCTATTCTGAACATAATCAATTACATTTTACATCTCCAGGGATCTGGGCTAGAGTTTTTCTCACTAAAGGACACCTGGCAGCTCTCTCTGCTTTCTAAAGCCACATCTACCATTGTCCTGTATCTTCCAACCATTTGGTCAAGTGCTGCTTAAAATGCTTGTGAATTATCAAAATCCTCAGAATGAGTTGTTTTTTCGTTTCTTTTGTTCACCTCTACGAGTTCAAATCACTAGCCCCATCCAATTGCAGATTTGTTACATTCAAAACTGCATTTTGGTTTTTGTCAAATCAGCTTTTACCGACCAATGAACTGTGTAGAAAGTAATCATACTTCACCTAGACCATAGCTTCTTTTCTAGACTTGTTCGCTCCTTCCATTTCCTTCAGAAGCTTATATTGCTTGTGTTCCTTCCACAGGTCCAAAACAAGGTTGAGAGAGCTCTTCATACTCTGAATATATATATAAAAATTTCTTTATCTTGAAGGCAGTAAGGAGTAGGGAACCCCAGGTAGCTTACAACACCATCCTCCCATCTTTCTTTTATCCTTAGGAGAGCAATCCTGTGAGGCATGTTAGGCTGAGAGAGCACGGCCCACAGCTGTCCAGTGAGCTCCATGACAGGCTGGGGATTTGAGCCGTTGTCTCCCAGATCCTAGTCTCCCAGACAGTCTAACCATTACACCACTCTGTTTAGTTTTTCATCCAGAACATAAAATGACCAAGTAAGAAAAGTACTACCCAGTTGAATTGTAGCCTATCTTGTCATTAACTTAAACCAATTTGATGTTAATATCTGCAGTAGCTAAGAAAAGTACTTGTGAATTGTGTCCTATCTTGTCATTAACGTAAACCAATTTGATGTTAATATCTGCAGTTATTCAGTCAGTTCTTTTCGATATTTATGCAGGCATTGGCACAAGCCATTAAAGAAGTCAAAGAGCAGCACCCCGACATGTCTGTAACCAGAGTAGTGGTGCATAAGGAAACGGAGGTGGCAGAAGAAGGAGACTAAGGTAAGAGCCTCAAGTATGCGTATAGCCCAAACGGATTGACTTTTCTGCACATATACTTGGAGACACTGGCAGTTGACACTAAGCATTTGAAAACCCATGTAAATTTACTCATGGTCAGGGTTGTTCATCTTTTGCGACTCTGCATGCAGTTTCTTTTCAGATTTTTGAATGCCTCTGTTTTGGAGCATTTTGAGCATTTTAAAAGGAAAGCAGAAACACCACAGGAAGAAAAATGACATATCAAATGCCAAAAGGAAAGATCTGGGGTGATAGGGAGAAATGCAAGCTGTAGATTGGAGGGAAGCGGCAGCATCAATTGGCTCATAAGGTTGCATTAGATAAACTGGAGATACAGAAGTAAATATAGATAGGCCCTGTCTACCCTACCTTTCCAGTCATGGGGTCTCAAGAAGTGTGCATGCACACAAAAGGTTATACCTAGAATTAAACTTTGTTGGTCTTAAAGGTGCCACTGGACTCAAACTATGTTCTGTCGCTTCAGACCAACACGGCTACCCACCGGGGTCTCAAAAACAATGAGTACACTGAGATGGTTCAAAGAGACGTCCAAAGTTCTATTTGGAAAGGAGACTCAACACTTGCCCCCAACTAAGCTGTTTGGGTTGTGTCCAGGTTTAAAGTAAGCATGGTGCTGAAATCCCTGATTTCTGAACTACCGTGCCAAACTGAGGATCAGGATTCTCTCCGTTGCTTATCAGGGTACCCTCTTGAGGATGTCCAGGTAGAGCTAGTAGAAATTGTGAGTTTTCTTTAGAGACTGTGGATTCTGATGAATACCTTTTACGTCCTTGTGCTGGTGACTGACCTGTGAATTTCTCAGTAGGCCCTGCCTGCTGCCCCTTCTCTCTTAGCTGACATTGAAGCAATGGCAGAGAACTTCCAATTTAGTTCTCAGTTTGCTCTGTGCCACAGTTAGCAGAAGAGACTGTGATCCAGTTGCAAGAGGCTCTCTGCTACTACTGCAAAGACATCTTGGGTGGAAGGTGGGCAGTGAGTAAGATCTGATACACCACCTTTAAAACATAACTTGTGTAGAGACTAAAGTACAAGAGCCATGCAGCATCATGCAAAATATAGTTCCTAAATAATCAAAAGGCTCACTAAGGCTTGGGGGGGGGGGATATCCCCCCCCTTTCCCCCAAATAATTTTTCCCCTTTGAAGTGAGTAAAATGGTTTTTAAGACACAGGTTTTAATCAGTAAAATGTATAGTATGAAAAAGGGGGCTTTTAAAACGTTTTTTCCATTGAAAAAATCAGCAACTTCTGAGGAGTACTGAGAGAAAATATCTCATATATAGATACAGACATATAGATATTCTTTTGGAATGAGTAAAATGTGCTGACATAGCATAGGTGTGGCTGTTCACAGTTCTCTCTTGGGTATATGTGTAATTTGTGTACAAAACTAAGGCATTTATGCTTTGAGCATGTACTTGGCATATTTATGGTATTTAAGTTATAAATTATGATTTTATGTTATTAAAGCAACATAATAGATTTAGGCCTGATAACAAATTAAGTTAGGGCCATATATCTCTCCTCTTGGATAGCCCTGGAGGGAGGGAAATCCAGTCCCCCTCAAGCCCTACTTCAAGGCTCTGAGTGTGTATCACCATGAAAAACTGCTTCCCATGACTCAAGCCTTGTTTAAAAGTCTGTAAGCCCTGGCACCCCAGCTCATAGTGACAGTGCACTAGGTATTTGCAATTAATTAGCAATCCACAGTAGTCAGACTTAGTTAACCAGAAAGCGAATTATTTTACAAAGGCATTTTTCAGAGTGGAAACATCATTCACCACATACATACCGCCCCGCCCACAGTCTAAAGAAGGTCCAATCCAGTTACTGAATATAATCTCCTGGAAAATAGTAAAACGAGAAAATTCTTCTGGAAACTAGAAGCTTGATGTGTTTCTTTAGGTAAGGGGAAGGTAACATTGTAGGTGAACCTGAAAAAGAAGGTGGCTTTTGGAGAGGAAAAATGAAATACCACTTTAAGGCTTTAAGAGAGTTTTAAAAAAACCCACAAATGTCATACTTTACTGCTTTCCTCTTTTAGATTTATGAAGATTTATTTGTGAATGAGAAGAACTTTGATCATTCCAAGTTGGTATCTTCATCACCGTTTCACTAAATTCGTGAAGAGGCTGGCAACAATGACTAGACATCTCTGTAATGAACTACCAACACCAAACCGTACCTTCTCTGGTCCTTTATCATTTACAACTTTATTTTTATAATCACTTCTTAACATTCTTGGCTTTTTTATGAGGGTTAGAGATTTATTATTTTTTTGCACAACTCCCTGCCATTTTTATATAACTGATCTCTTGATTGCATGAAAGTGAACAAAAATATTTAGTAAGCACTGTTCACTTGAGCAAGTGTAAAATGCGGGAAAGACAGAATCGTTGACTAATTTAGATATAACCTTTTCAGAAAGTTTCAAATAGAACCTCTTACTGGAATGATTTACAGAGGGTCCCCCCCCCCCGATATTTCACACAAATAAAATGTGTCAATATTTTTTTTAATTAAAAAATAAGCTTTCCTATAATTTAGGGAAGTAAATTAAGATTTTCACCCGGACTTAAATGGATTTTTATATAAACTCCTTATAACTTTCTCTGTTCTGAGGGTCTCCCACTTTCTATGGGGAACTGGTGCTGATATATTATAGAAGAGAGGGAGTTATAAAGACATTTCTACTGAATGAGCACTGTTCTAGTAACCTTTTTTCTGCACTGCCATGGCCTCGTTCAACTCTTCCTTCGTGGACACTTTGTAGTCTGCAACATTCCAGATAAAGTTGGAAGGACCTGCTCTCTTTTCCTTCCAACAGAGATAATCTAGGCAGCTTTAAAACCTTAGTGCTTTTCTCTTTAACATGTTAAATGTCAAACACTTCCATTATATAATACACATGCAGAATGCTTGCGTTATATTAAAACTCATTGTCTACATGTTACAACTAACACTTCTGTTAAAGCAGTTATACCTGATTTGGATAGTTTTCCTGATGACCTGTACAGGTTTTAGGGAAATTGTGGAACCAGAGGTGCATGCTTGAGACCATTCTTATAAGCAGTATGAGAACCACCTCTTATGTGATGAGGCTGCCAGTGAGGAAGTCTGTATGAAAACCTGTTAATTCTTTTCCCCTCGCTGTTCACCATGTGTATAGTTGATGCCATATTAAATTTGAAGCAGTTTCAGGTTGTATTAAGTGATATTTTGCTTTCTGTAATACTATTATAAAATAAAGTTTGTTTATTCTCTAAATGTTTCATCTCTTGTTCTTCACACCAAGAATTAATTTTGGTAGGGTAGGAAAATGCTATTTAAATGCGTCATGTGTCAACATAACAGAATTGCAATGGGAAGTCTTCTGGTTTCGCTGTTGTGTTCCATGCTCAGAATAACACATGCCTCCTTTTCAGGGAAAACAAGTGTAACAGGTAGGATTGTCAATACTGCTTGGTCTTGTTTAACCTAATATTATTCACATAGCCTCCAGATCACAGGGTGATTTTTTTTCCAGCAAAGGAATTCATACCTATTCAAACAGAGGACAAAGAATTAAAAGGGAAGTCAGCCTTGCATGAATACACAAAACATGTATCCAATGAAATTCACTTTGCAGAAGAGTCTACCTTGAGCAAAGGTTCTTCAAATAGCTTTTGAGAAATAGAGGTCCTGGTTAGCTGACAACAGCTGAGTGACACAGCAATACTAAACAGGTCTACTCAGGAGTAAGTCCAATATTCAGTAGGGCTGACTCCCAGGCAAGTGTTCTTAGTCACTGTGGTTGAAATCCTAAGTTATTTTTAGCACTATATATAGTTTTTGGAATTATGGTCTATAAATACCATAACATCTAGATAAATATAAAAGGCTAGCTGTGTTCCCGACGACTCACCTTCTACCTGATCAGGCCAGCCTTTTAAGGTCATTTGCATATGCAGGCTGATTGGGCCTCGCTCCATTCTGCACATCATCCTCTGTCCCCCCTCCCCATAGCCAACTGGAACACAGGTAATTTGCATATGTGGCCTTATTGGCCCTCCCCTCCAACATTCTAAACAGTTTGCTGTTGGGAGTCATTGAATGTGTTCTGAGGTAAAATATATCTCCCAGTCTTTTCCCTAAATGTTCACTGGGGTTACCAATCTCCCTGTGGGGCCTGGAGATCCCCCAGAAATCACTGTGTCCCCCAGCCACAGCACAACATTTTCCTTACAGAAAATTTACCAGCTATTACAACTGATCTCCAGATGACCAAGATCAGTTCTCCTGGAGAAAATGGCTGATTTGGGCAGTGGACTCTATGGCATTATACCCTGCTGAGGTCCCTCCCCACCCCAAACCCTCCCCTCCCCAGGCTCTACCCCTCAAATCTACAGGTATTTCCCAACCTAGAATTCGCAACCCTGTAACTGGCTATGGGATCACTTTCCAGACCCTTGGAACCTAGAAAACATGGTATAGGAGGAGGCGGTTTTCTACCTTAGCTGCCACTACATAGCCCCAAATCAACATAAGTAAGGGGTGGAGGGAACCATACCTGTTACCATGAGGCTGTCCTCCCATACTACCCACTTGGGGCAGCAAAATGACTTGAGACAGCCCCACCTTATAGCTAAGCAGAAGGAAATAAATATGGCTTGCCTCCCTCTATTTTCCCTTCCCTCCACTGCCCCACCAGCCACAGCTGGGAGGACATTCACTTGGAGCTTCTTTCTAGAGCTCATTACATTTCTTCCCACAATGGGCCTTGCTCCTAGTAGGTTTATAAGTCTGCATCCTGATCTCTGCAGAGAAAATGTCTGCTGTATTCTCAGTATATCTTAAAGAATGTATAAATACATGGGTTTTTGACATCTCCCTGCCATTTCTTTTACCTATTTCTCTGCCATTTCTGCTTGGGAAAAGTGTGTTTTTTAAATGAACAAACAAAAACAGATATGTGTTCTGGGATTACAACAATACATGCCTCCTTCTCAGGGAAAACAATCCTAGCAGGTTGGATGCTGCTTGCAAGGCACAGGGTAGCCATGTGTTCTCTATCTTTTCCCTTCAAACCATTTAAAGCAAATCAAGGTCATAAACCGAGGAAGATCAGAGGGGGAGGAGTATTCTCTTGCCATCAGTGGTGTAGTACAAGTAGTCCCTATGGGGTTAGACAGCCACATGGCATGCATCAATAGTAAGCAGGGTGTATATCACCAGTGACTGCTAGTCCAGTATAAGTACAGGGTTCCCAGCAAGGGAAATACTATCTGAAGGGAAGACCTCTCTGGCACTTGTATATAAAGATGTGTCACTTTTAAAAAATTGCATTATGGATTTCTTAGGACGTGTAAACAGTACTTTGCCATCAGGGTCAAGTATGCATATTTCCAGTTGCCATCTCCTTAGAGGGTTTTTTTAAAAAAATGTATAAAAGAGCAGCATTACGGTGCTTGCATTTGTAGCACTACTAATTGCAAAGGATTGATGGGAATGGCTGATGCAAAGCCAAGCCCATATTATTTGTCTCCATTTCCTTATGATATTTTACAAGTCATTAGGTATATTGCTTGAAGCCAGAGTTCTCAATCAGGTCTGGAAAACTATTGTTTTGAGCAGTTCTCACAAGGAAATTTTTTTATAAATTATTTTTAAATGACATCATCCAGTTCATTACATTGCTGTTGATCAAAGGGCTAATATTTGTTTTCCTTGTTTTTCTATAATAGCAAACTGTTTTTAAACTTTTGAAATCCATGGTTGGTATTGAACCTGTCTGTGGAAATGAAATCCTCTTTAAAAATCACTTTCTTTTTGTTGATCTCAGTTTCCATTCAGAGTTCCTGAATCTCTTGCATTGGGTGTAGTAATTGATAACTACATCTGCAGGATTACAGGCCAGGGCAAGTTCCTTGTTCACTGAAAAAAACCAAAGAAGCAGGGTATTAATTTACAGCGATGGGACTGAAAAGAGCACCCCAAGGTGGTCTGGCTTTGAGATGCTCACTGGATGGTTCACTTCTTTGTACAACTCTTAATAAGAAATTTGTCAGTTCATACTATGTTGTTGCCACATAACCATAAAATAAAGGTTCCAATATGTATATGATGGGTAACATCATAAAACTGAAGTGTTCATCTTCTGAAGGGATGGGACGAATGGAGACATGAGTGAGGAGGACTAGCCCTCCTTTCCATCAACAGTGAATGATAGAGACTGGTACAAATTCCTTTTTAAAGAGCATCCAGCATTCACTAGATACCTACTAAATGGCTTCCAAGGAAAGCAGAAAATGAGACAGACCGATTCTGAATGTTAGACATTCTAGACTTGCTTCAAGATGAGCCAACTGCCATCTCTCCTTTTATATAATTTTGTTTTGGGGTGGCATTTTCCAGAACATTCCACACGCTCCCAAATCAGTTGCCTCAGTGATCTGTCACTCAGAACATGTCCCTATCCACTGGCTGCGTTGCCTGAGTCCTGCCCACAGAAGCAGCACCTGCGAAAATTTACCTCAGACTGCGCCCGGCTCCCTCAGAACACGGACACTCCGGCCCTGCCGCTGCGGCCGGCCCCCTCAGAAGACGGAGACTCCAGCCCTGCCACTTTGCTGCTGCACTCGGCCTCGGCCTGCACTGAAGCCGGTGCCTATGGGCAGTGCACGCCACTGCCTGCCCCGTCCGCCACCCTGTGCTCATTTGGGAAGAGGAGCCGAGCTTGACCCTCCCCGTTCCAGACCCGCCGATGCTCCAGGTAGCCGTTGCCATCACCAAGCAGCCTACCAGGGACAAGCATCCGGTGGGTGGATGAGAGGTAGGGAACCATGGCACTCTACTGAGGGAGGAGGAGGAGGACGGGGGGGTTAGTGGAACGGGGGCAGGATTGCTGCTGCCGCCGCCGGGGCCCCAGGCACACCTGCTGCTGCCGCCATCGCCACCACCACCACCAAAGTTTTCACCTGCCGAGTGCCCGCCCTGAGAGGCAGCTGCTCCAGTCGTGTCCGGTGGCGGGGGGGGCAGCACAGGGAGCGTGATCCAGCCAGCCCTCCGCGGTGGTGCCACACCACTCATTCACCGTCCACCTGGCCAGGGTGACTCTGCGGCAGCTCCGGGCCCTGCATGCAGCAGTAGAGGGCGCGGGGGGGCAGCACTCCAGCAGGGCAGAGGCCACTGTTCAGCCCGGCAGGCAGGGCGAGCGGCGTTTGACAGACGGGGGCAGCAGGGCCACCATCGTGCCCAGAGCAAAGCCTGGGCTCCAGGGCACAGCGGCACTTGGCTCAACGCGGCTCCTGTCCTGCAGTGGTCTGGCCATGGCGCTCAGGCGGATTTGCGGGGGGTGGGGGGGAGGAGAGGGGGAGGATCGCTCGGTCACCCAGCCTGCGCCGCCTGGCCGTTGCTGCTCGTCTTGACTGGGTCCCACACTTTCAGAACATATCTCACGCTCCTAACCCTATAACAGCCAATGTGACGTGGCAGTCACGGATTCAGAGC